AAAATTGTTATATCATCTTGGTCATGGCTACAGCAATACCCTAGAGAGAACTTCAAAGTATGCCAAGACTCATCGAGGGTCGAACCTGGACACTTCTGGTCGAACAATTACGCCAGTCAAGAGATTGATAGTCCTGGACGAGTTGCCCGGAATACGCGACGTATTAGCAGTGTGAGGGTATCAACACCAATGCTCTCCAAAAGCAATCGGGTCGCAGAGCGATATACATTCCAGGTCCGGTAGTCGCGTATCCGATTCTCTATCAAACTCACCTTCGTCTGAGTTGAAGCATCTTCGGAAAGTACAGCAAACACAAGAGCAGCAATTAGTGCAAGTATCATGAATAGCTGAAATGTTTTCAAATCTCAGCGGATGAACATTCAAGGCACAACGCACGCTCAGCAAAAGCTGCATCCTTGGCATGTCCGGGACTAACGGGCCACAGCTGTCGAAGCGAGCGGGGCGCTGTTTGTCGACGGGGGGGGGGGCATTTTGCACTATCATTGCTTCCTCAGTTCCGGTTTACATGTCTCACTCTGGCGAAACCTGTGAACTCTTGTGAAGCTGGAAGTAGTCAAGCCATCATGTTAAAACCTGTCAACTCGAGAAGAGGCTGTCTAGATAGGTCGACACGTCGATGGGAAGTAGCAAAAGTGCAAAATGCCCCCCTCCGTCGACACTGCGCCGCGTAGCGGTTTACCGGTTTCCCGAGCATGCGCAGGGATGGGGATCTAGGACCGTGGGAAAGGATTAGTAGGCTAATTCCTCCATACTCCGCCTAAAATGGAACTTACGGCGCAGTCACGCTGCACGCCGCTAACCTATCCCAATCCCATCTACAATCTATCAGCCGTCTGCGCGGCGCCATTTTGCAAAGTCTTGTAGTTTGCGCTTTCAAATGCGGTTAAAAGGCAAATTCCTGATGCGAATGACAACTGAGGCGTTGTTCATGCTGCAAACTCTGAGTGAGATGATAACGAGTGCTAGAACAGAAGAACAACTATATTGTTTCTGCAATCATCCTCAAACGTGAGATTAAAAATGACCTAAGCGTCCTAGTCCTTGATTCAAAGCCTTTTTATGGTTTTGGAATCAGAATCGCACCGAATTAATTTACTTAATTATAATTTATTTAATACATTTACTTACATTTTTTATTTACATTTAGTTGCTCTTCAATTCTAGCACTCGTCATTCACCTGACTCAGAGTTTAGAGCACGAACAACGCATCAATTGCCATCCGCATCAGGAGTTTGCGTTTTAATCGCATTCGAAAGCGCAACTATACGAGTTGGCAGAGTGCCGGAGCGCTACGCGCGACATGCGACGCGCAGATACCCGATAGGTTATAGATGGGATTGGGATAGGAGAAGCGTGACTGCGCCGCAAGCCGCATTTTAGGCGGAGTATAGAGGAAAAGCCTATCCAATGGTCCCGGATCCCCATCCCCGCGCATGTTCGGACGGGGAAACAGCTACGCTTCGACAGCTGAGGGCCTGCTAGCCCGCACAATTGCCAAAGACGCACCTCGCAGCTGAGCTTGCGTTGAGCCTTCAAGGAAAACGAAGTGATTAAAATCGATAGATAGGTTTCGAGATTTTTGGGAAAACGAAGCAATGAAAATTGACAGATAGGATTCAAGAGTTTCGAAATGTTACACAGTAGAGGTAGTTAGGCTTTCATTGAAGAGTGCCTCTACCCA